GAAGGTCCCAGTGGGTGTGCCCGCATGCGTCCCGCACACCCATTTCGGCACACCCCTCACACGTTTCGTGGCCCCATGGGGAGCTCCACCGAAGGTCCCAGTGGGTGTGCCCGCATGCGTCCCGCACACACATTTCGGCACACCCCTCACACGCTTCGTGGCCCCATAGGGAGCTCCACCGAAGGTCCCAGTGGGTGTGCCCGCATGCGTCCCGCACACCCATTTTGGCACACCCTTCACACGTTTCGTGGCCCCATAGGGAGCTCCACCGAAGCTCCCAGTGGGTGTGCCCGCATGCGTCCCGCACACCCATTTCGGCACACCCCTCACACGCTTCGTGGCCCCATAGGGAGCTCCACCGAAGGTCCCAGTGGGTGCGCCCGCACGCGCCCCGCACACCCATTTCGGCACACCCCTCACGCGCTTCGTCGGCATTCAAGGGAGCTCCACCGAATGAGCAGCCCAAGAACTGCTGAATGCGCCCGACACACCCATAGGGAGCTCCACCGAAGGTCCCAGTGGGTGTGCCCGCATGCGTCCCGCACAGCCATTTCGGCCCACCCCTCACACGTTTCGTGGCCCCATAGGGAGCTCCACCGAAGGTCTCAGTGGGCGTGCCCGCATGCGTCCCGCACACGCATTTCGGCACACCCCTCGCACGTTTCGTGGCCCCATAGGGAGCTCCACCGAAGGTCCCAGTGGGTGTGCCCGCATGCGTCCCGCACACCCATGTCGGTACACCCTTCACACGCTTCGTGGCCCCATGGGGAGCTCCACCGAAGGTCCCAGTGGGTGTGCCCGCATGCGTCCCGCACACCCATTTCGGCACACCCCTCGCACGTTTCGTGGCCCCGTAGGGAGCTCCACCGAAGGTCCGAGTGGGTGTGCCCGCATTCGTCCCGCACACCCATTTCAGCACACCCTTCACGCGTTTCGTGGCCACTATAGGGAGCTCCACTGAAGGTCCCCGTGGCGCAGTCCGCATGCGTTTCCCCCACCCAGTACACCTCCGTCGGAGGCCGTCGGAGTTCCGCGCCTCGCTCGCCCGCCGTCGCTCTGCCCAGCGGCAGGAGCCTTGCCCGCTATCAGCCAGCCAGCTAGCTCTTTTTGCTGCGCGCAGCGGACGACCCGCGCGCGTCGCTGGGACCCCTCCGGGGCGACCTGCGTGCGTCGCTGGGACTCCGCGCTGCGCTGCGCCCGCAGCCTTGGACTTTTGAATGCGCGGGCAAAGAGGGAGTAAAAGAAGGGGAGGAAGCGGGCGCGATCCTCGCGGTGGCGTCGCGGCGCGCGGGCGATGCCGCTGGGGAGTCCCGGGGAAGCCCCTTGCGGCGGCCACGCCCAGCGTCACGAGTATTCAGAGGCAGTTTGTCATTCATAGTCAATTGCACCATGCTTTGTCATACTCGCATTCATGCACGTAGACTCGCTCGCACGCAGATTCATTCACAGTCAGACGCACTCGCGCTCAGATTCACCCGCGCTCAGTCTCCCTACGTACTCAGATCAATCGTTTTCGTTCGCGCTGTGTACCTGTTAGGGGACATGCCCGACCTAACATTTGTTTCGGGTCTCTCCTGCCCTGGCCAGCAGCCGTGGCCGCGCCCACTTCCGGCGCAGTTCCCCAACCTTTTCTGCTTCGTGACGGCCTCTGGACCGCAGAGGTCCGCAGGCAGGAAAAGCCGTCCTTCAGAGGCGCATGTGCTGCCCAGGGAGGTGTCGGCGACAGCGTGCTCGCGTTTTGCTGGGGCCGCCCAGGTGCCAACGTCGCACGTGTGGGCCCTTCTGTCGGCCCAGGGGTGGCTGAAGAACTCGCAGGACAGCGCCTTCAGGGACAGGATGGACTAGACGGAAAAGTGACCCTTCGCCGGAGTGACCTTTGGTGCGGGCTCATCGTGGTCCCCCCGATCGCCGAGCGCAATGCGATAGCAACCGAATGCGCGCTTGGATTTGGCCACCTTGCGCCCCCCTTAGTCCGCGCATCAAAGGTTACTCTTGCCTAGCGTCACTTTTTGCGTGTAGCCGATAGGAGAGGAAGCGGCATGGTGCTGCGAAGCCTGATGTACACGAAGCAGTTCACCAGCCGGCACGACAAACGCATGCAAATGTTCTCCGTGGGCCTGGTTCTGCTGAACACCGTATACATGGGGGTGCAGGCGCCAATCCTCGAGCGCCGCACCTCGATCCTCGACCCTCGAGCCTCGAGCCTCGATCCTCGAGCCTCGATTTTCGAGCTTCGATTCTCGCTCCCAGGCGTCCGTGAGCCTGCGCGCGGTCCGGGAGGGCGAGAGCCTGCCCGACACGTACCGCTACCTGGACATTATCTTCGTGGTCCTCTTCGTGCTGGAGCTGGCCGCTCGGCTCTTCATAGAGCGCGTGGCGTTCTTCACCGGCCCGCACTACCGCTGGAACGCCTTCGACTCGCTCCTGGTCATCACTTCGCTGCTGGACGTCATGCTGTTCACACTGAACCTCAGCTTTCTCCGCAGCCTCAAGGCGTTCCGGGCGGTGCGGGCAGCTAGGATTCATGGGCCAATTCTCTTCCTCCTCCTCCTCCTCCTCCTCCTCATCCTCATCCTCGTCCTCCTCCTCCTCCTCCTCCTCCTCCTCCTCCGCGGACTTCTTCGCCGACGTAGGTGCGATGTCCCACCGACTGCCCACGGCGTTGCTCGACCTGTTCAAGGTCAAGCTCAGCGACGCGCAGATGGTGGCCAAACTTCTGTCATGGATGATGGCTGCAGTTGGCTCGTTATCGGACGAACTCAAGGACCTAGTCCCCGTCCTGTGCCGCGTGCCTGCTCCTCGTGACCCTGTGCAGATCGTCACGAACAGTCACGAGATCGCTAGAGATGGGGCCCGCTGGATTTGCACGAGGTGCACGGCCAGGGCCGCCCCTGAGGCAGCGGTCGCGAGGCTTCAGCGCTCCTTCTGTGAGCCAGCCGCGCTTCAGCGCCTCCTGGCCCGCGCCAGGCAGAGGCTCCCCTCCTCTTCGTCGAGCGCCTCCCTCCCTTCCTCGTCCTCGGAGGCGATCGCCATCGCCCTCCGGGCCGCCGACCGTGACCGTGCCTTGGGACCCGAGGCTGGCCATCCCACTGGGTGGGGCGAGGCTGCCAAACCCTGGACTCCCGAGGCGTCGCCCCCGTGGGGCCTGGGGAGGCCGCCGAGGGGGTCCCGTCCCTGCCAGCAGCGAGGTTGGGGCGTCCGCGGACGAGGCGGTCCCCGCGAGGCCCGCCGACGCCTCCTCCTCCTCCCTCCTCCTCCTCCTCCTCCTCCTCCTCCTCCTCCTCCTCCTCCTCCTCCTCCTCCTCCTCCTCCTCCTCCTCCTCCCCTTGGAAGTAGGACTTTAGGTGCCAGCGGTACTTTGTCTAGTCTGCCTAGCGCCCGTCAGCCCCCTCAGGGGCCCACTGTGTCTAGTGCTACCCCTGAGGCTTGCCATGAGCTTGTGCGTGGCCACCACCTCGTCACTACGGGCCCTTGTGCTTACTGTCTCGACTGTGGCGGGTCTGCGTCCACCAGGTAATCGCCAGTGTTGATGGCCTCTTGCAATGGTCCCGTCCTTTGGGAGACTAGCCGTCAGCGATGCACGGCCTTGAAGAACCTCAAGGCAGGGTGTCACCCGCGAACGGGTATTCCCCTAAGCGGTGACACACCCCGCGGCTAGGGTAGCCGTTATTCGAAAGAGCATGTTCTATCGCTGTTGGCGGAAAACCGGGGGGGGGGGGTCACTACCGGTTCGAACCCCTTCCCCCCCCCTCCTGAAAACCGGGGGGGTCACTACCGGTCCGAACCCCTCCCCCCCCCCACCCAGTCCATCATGAAAGGGGGGGGGGGTCACTACCGGTTCGAACCCCCCCCCTCCCTCGAAAACGGGGGGGGGTCACTACCGGTTCGAACCCCCCCCCTCGAAAACCGAGGGGGTGCGGACAGTGGTGGGGACGGTGGTGGTGGGGACAGTGGTGAGGGGACAGCGGGACAGTGGTGGGCTCAGTGGGACAGGTGGGGACGGTAGTGGTGGGGACAGTGGTGAGGACAATGGTGGGAACAGTGGGGACAGTGGGACAGTGGTGGGGACGGTGGTGGTGGGGACAGTGGTGTGGGGACAGTGGGAATGTGGTGGAAACAGTGGGACAGTGGAGGGTACAGTGGTGGTGGGGACAGTGGTGAAGGCGGTGGCGAGGACGGCGGTGGGACAATGGGACAGAGGTACAGTGGGGACAGTGGTGGGGACAGTGGGGACAGTGGTGGGAACAGTGGGACAGCTCAGTGGGACAGCGGAGGAGTCAGTGGGACAGTGGGGACAGTGGGGATAGTCGGGCAGTGGTTGGGGCCGTGGAGAAAGTGGGGAGAGTGGAACCGTGGTGGGAACAGTGGTGGGGACAGTGGGGACAGTGCGACAGTGGTGGGGGCACTGGTGGGGACAGTAGGGACGGTGGTGGAACCAGTGGGGACAGTGGTGGTGAGGACAGTGGTGCTGGGAACAACAGTGGGGGATGTGGTGCGGACGGTGGTAGGGACCGGGAGTCGTTTGCTGGCGGTGAGTGGGGGAGGGTGGGGAGGGGTTCGAACCGGTAGTGACCCCCCCTCCGGTTTTCGAGGGGGGGGGGGGTTCGAACCGGTAGTGACCCCCCCGGTTTTCGAGGGGGGAGGGGGGGGGAGGGTTAGGGGAGGGGGGGGTTTTGCTGGGGGAGGGGGGGGTGGGGAGGGAGGGTTCCAGCAGGGGGGGGATTTTCGGAGGGGGGGGGGGGGAACCCCGGGCTCCCGAGGAAAAGGGGGGCAATTTTCCACAGTAAAGCGGAAGCGGCGGTGGATCACGCTCTCTCCGTTATTTGAATGTCATGGCTCCTTAGTTAGTTTTGGCTGGTTGGCGAGACCATCAGACCTGCGTGTCCTCCTCCTCCTCCTCCTCCTCCTCCTCCTCCTCCTCCTCCCACCTGTGGCAGTGGTGGGCGGAGATCGGCCCATCATAGGATGATCAAGTCGATCACGTTTGTCCGCGAGCTGAGGCTGATGGTCGCCTCCATCTTGTGCTCCCTCTCCTCGCTCTTGTGGGCGTTCGTTCTCCTGACCTTCGTCGTGTACCTCTTCTCGATTTTCCTGATGCAGAGCCTGGAGGTATACGCAAACTCTATCGGGAGGAATCCTGGCGGTCAATTGATGCAGATGTTCGGCACACTCTTGGACTCCATGTACACCCTCTTCTGTGCAATCTCAGGAGGCAGGGACTGGTATGATATAATTAAGCCGTTTGACGAGATCTGGAGGGGCTATCGGGTCATCTTTGTCGTCTACGTGATCTTTGTATTTTTTGGGGTGCTGAACATATTCTGGAGGTTTGCGCCATTCCGCCGACCCCCAGAAGCAAGAACGAGAGGTGCTATGAGGCGGGGGAGGGGAACATGTGGAGAAGGAGGGGCATGATACCGAGGATGCAAGGGCCAGCATTGGCCAGCCGTTGGGTTGCCACGGGGCCGCGCTGGGCGACGCCTGGGTCTCTGGTGGGACGCTTTGGGGTCTCGTTGAGGCTCTCTTCTGCTCTGTTGGGGTCTGTTTGGGACCTTCCGAAGACTTCGGGGTGACTCTAGGTGCGGATGCGAGAGTCTTGGAGTCGTCTGGGTACGTCGAGAGGCAGTCTTGGAGCGGTCTCTGGGCAAGATTGGAGCAGTCTCTGAGACCAGCTTGGGACATCTGGGGCCACCTTGGGCCAGCATGGCGGCTATCTCGGAGCCTCCTGGCCTGTCGGGGGGCCTCTCAAGGACTCGCAGACCCTCTCGGAGGCCTCGGAAGCCCATCGCGGGGCCACCTTGATGCTAAGTATGGGAACGACGGAAAGCATGCAACTTCACATCGAACTTTGAGACGGATTTGGCCTCGCGGTGACCGTCTTAAGGCCTCTTTAGAGGGGGGCTCTCGAGGCCAGGCAAGGCGCCAGCGCGAGGCCGTGGTCTGTCTTGGGCCAACTTGGTCGGTCTGGGAACCACTTGGGAGTCATTTCGAGGATCTCAAGGGCCTGGCCAGATCGGCTTGTCCAACTTGAGGCTAGTTTTCACCATCCTGAGTATGCCTGTTAGCCCCACTTCCTCCAGCCGCACCTGCTTGGCTTGCTTCTGTGCGCCCTGGCCCCAACCCGCTTGGTCCCCCAGGGTGGGCACTCTTGCGGGCAGCGTCAGCGTCAGCGTCAATGGCCTGGCCCGCAATTTTGGAGGCTCCGGGAGGCTTGATGGACTCCCGAGGTTCCTCCACCCACCCGCCCTTGAAAAACGAGGCGTTGGATTTCCTGGGCGGAGAGACTTGGGGAGGGGAGGCAGCCCGTTCAGCTCTCTGCGCTTTCTTACCCGCAGCCAGCTGCAGTTGGCGGACTGACTGCAATCTTTGTGGAGAGCGCCAAGCACATTGCCGAGATCGATCGTGACATCGTCATTCAGGACCAAATCACGCGGGATAAATCCACGATGAACGAGGTCAGGCGTATTTTCAACACTGCCGACAACGATGGCAGTGGAAAGCTACGCCGGGATGAGCTCGAGGCGGTGCTGAGGGATGACAAAACGATGAAACACCTGAGGGTGTTGGAGCTGGACATCAAAGAGGTGGAAGGGCTCTTTCAGCTGCTGGACATTGACGACCACAACGAGGTCGTCATCGACGAGTTCGTCGTCCAGCTCATGAGGCTCAAGGGTGGAGCAAAGGGACTCGACCTACAGACGGTTCTCTATGAGAATAAGCGCATTTTCCTCCGGCTCTCGGCAATGATGAGGTTCATGGAGAAACACATGGGGATGCTGGAGACGAGGCTCGACATACAGTCGACCGAAGAGGCCACCATGAAAGAATTCCTGCTGGACGAGGAGGATCCGAGGAGGGGATTTATACACAGCCACCGCCTTGATAATCGATCTTCGGGGGCCCCGGCGGGCGGTGGGTATGGATATATTCAGGCCCTCGGGTGGGGGTGGCAGATGTATTCATATCCACCGCCAGCCGAGTCCCCCGAAGATCGATCCTCCAGGTGGTGGTTATGGATCGATTTCCGCCTCGCAGAGGAGGCGCAGAGATTATCCTGCAAGGCCCAGAGGTCAGCGAGCAGCACCGCTTCCTGTGAGCTGGCGACGGCGCCGGGGCTGCGAACTGGTTGACTCTCGAGAGGCCGTTCGCTCGCCGCCACAGAGAGGCCTGCACCGCGCGCTGCTGCTACTGCCGTCCCTGCCGCTGCCGAGGCCGCGGCTGCCGCCACTCCCCCCTCCTCCCTCTCCTCTCCCCCCTCCTCCTCCTCCTCCTCCTTCCTCTCCTCCTCCTCCTCCTCTCTCTCCGCCATCTCCTCCTCCGCCTCCTCCTCCGCTTCTCTCTCTCTCTCTCTCTCTCTCTCTTTATATACACACATCAATAAACGAATAAATAGATACCGCCCCCCCCGGCCCCGGGTGCCACACCTCTCCGCCACGTCTCGGGGACGCTCCCGGTACTGCTCCACCAGGCGTTCCGGGGAGCCTCCACAGCGCTCCAGGAGGGCCCAAGATGACTCCCAGGAGCGCCCAGAATGCGAAAGGATGGTCCAAGACGCTCCCAAGCAGCCCAAGTCAGCCTTCCGACGGCTCTCGAGGCTCCCAGGTAACCTCCAAGAGACCCCAAGAGAGATCCGAGAGGCGTCCCGGGACGGCCCGAAGAGGCCCAATTCCAGATTTTCATTGTTTTTGTTTAATGTTTTTGGCTTCTCGCGTTTTCGAGCATCCAACGGTCCAAGAGCGCCGAAGCTCCCAAGATCGCCTCAAGACCACCCAAGAGACCCTCAGGACGGCCCCAAGACTGGCCAAGACGGCTCCAAGACTGCCGAAGAGTCGCCCAGGACAGCCCCAGACCAGCCCAGAACAGGCCTAAGATGGGCCCAAGAGCGGGAGCAGGAGGCTTCCAGAGACCTCCGAGAGGCCTGCGGGACCCCCCAGAGGCCCCCAACACCCCCCCGATTTTTGAGAGGCCCCAAAAACACCCCGACGAGGCTCCAAGAACAGCCCAAGACAGCTGCGAGAGCCGTCCCGAGAGAGCCCAAAGAGGGTAAACTCGTTGATTTCCCATGGTTTTTACCTAACAGCGAAGACTGATAGGTTTCTAATGGTCTCACAAGAAAGCATCATGACTCCCCAGGGGGGTCCGGGCAGGATCCGGGGAGAATCCGCGGAAGTCGTTTTAAGCAAACAGTTACACACATTTCGTGGTCTTCGAGGTCCCAGAAGTCCATTCCCGGGCCACATTCTGAATGCCCGGAGCCAACTGTAGGCCACTTCGTGCTCTTCGAGTTCCCAGAACTCCATTCCCGGGCCACATTTTGAATGCCCGGAGCCAACTGTAGGCCACTTCGTGGTCTTCGAGTTCCCAGAACTCCATTCCCGGGCCACATTTTGAATGCCCGGAGCCAACTGTAGGCCACTTCGTGCTCTTCGAGTTCCCAGAATCCATTCCCGGGCCACATTTTGAATGCTGAGGCAGGCTGAGGCTGAGGCTGAGGCAGGCTGAGGCTGAGGCAGGCTGAGGCTGAGGCTGAGACGAGGATGAGGGCAGACTGAGGCTGGGCTGAAGCAGGCTGAGGCTGAGGCTGAGGCTGAGGCTGAGGCTGAGGCAGGCTGATGCTGAGGCAGGCTGAGGCTGAGGCTGAGGCTGATGCAGGCTGAGGCTGAGGCAGGCTGAGGCTGAGGCCGAGGCTGAAGGCAGACTGAGGCTGAGGCTGAAGCAGGCTGAGGCTGAGGCTGAGGCTGAGGCTGAGGCTGAGGCAGGCTGAGGCTGAGGCAGGCTGAGGCTGAGGCTGAGGCTGATGCAGGCTGAGGCTGAGGCAGGCTGAGGCTGAGGCCGAGGCTGAAGGCAGACTGAGGCTGAGGCTGAAGCAGGCTGAGGCTGAGGCTGAGGCAGGCTGAGGCTGAGGCAGGCTGAGGCTGAGGCTGAGGCAGGCTGATGGCTAGCTGAGGCTGAGGCTGAGGCTGAGGCAGGCGGATGGCTGATGGCGAGCTGAAGGCAGACTGAGGCTGAGGAGGCTGAGGCAGGCTGAGGCTGCGGCTGAGGCAGGCTGGAGGCTGAGGCTGAGGCTGAGCAGGCTGAGGCTGAGGCATGATGCTGAGGCTGAGCACTGAGGCTGCGGCTGAGGCTGATGCAGGCTGAGGCTGAGGCAGGCTGAGGCTGAGGCTGAGGCGAGGCTGAAGGCAGACTGAGGCTGAGGCTGAGGCTGAAGCAGGCTGAGGCTGAGGCTGAGGCAGGCTGAGGCTGAGGCTGAGGCAGGCTGATGCTGAGGCAGGCTGAGGCTGAGGCTGATGCAGGCTGAGGCTGAGGCAGGCTGAGGCTGAGGCCGAGGCTGAAGGCAGACTGAGGCTGAGGCTGAAGCAGGCTGAGGCTGAGGCAGAGGCAGGCTGAGGCTGAGGCTGAGGCAGGCTGATGCTGAGGCAGGCTGAGGCTGAGGCTGAGGCTGATGCAGGCTGAGGCTGAGGCAGGCTGAGGCTGAGGCCGAGGCTGAAGGCAGACTGAGGCTGAGGCTGAAGCAGGCTGAGGCTGAGGCTGAGGCAGGCTGAGGCTGAGGCTGAGGCAGGCTGATGCTGAGGCAGGCTGAGGCTGAGGCTGAGGCTGATGCAGGCTGAGGCTGAGGCAGGCTGAGGCTGAGGGCCGAGGCTGAAGGCAGACTGAGGCTGAGGCTGAAGCAGGCTGAGGCTGAGGCTGAGGCAGGCTGAGGCTGAGGCTGAGGCAGGCTGATGCTGAGGCAGGCTGAGGCTGAGGCTGAGGTGATGCAGGCTGAGGCTGAGGCAGGCTGAGGCTGAGCCGAGGCTGAGGCAGACTGAGGCTGAGGCTGAAGCAGGCTGAGGCTGAGGCTGAGGCAGGCTGAGGCTGAGGCAGGCTGATGGGCAGGCTGCGAGGCTGCTGAGGCTGAGTGCAGGCTGAGGCTGAGGCTAGGCTGAGGCTGAAGCAGGTGAGGCTGAGGCAGGCGATGCTGAGGCGAGGCTGGAAGGCAGACTGAGGCTGAGGCTGAAGCAGGCTGAGGCTGAGGCTGAGGCAGGCTGAGGCTGAGGCAGGCTGAGGCTGAGGCTGAGGGCTGAGGCTGAGGCTGTGACTGCGACTGCCGTTGCCACTGCGACTGTCATCGCGAATGCGACTACGACTGCGAGAACAGCAGAATTCTACAACTGGATTCTCATCTGAATCTTAAGGGGAATGCTTCCAGATATGCTCCTACACATCGCTGTTAGGTTGCTTTGCCAGGATAATCTAATGTTTTTCGCCTTCTCACGTTTTCCCGCTTCCAACCCTCGAAGATCGAGGATTTTGAATAGAGGGAGAGAGAGAGAGAGAGAGAGAGAGAGAGAGAAAGAGAGAGAGGGAGAGAGAGAGGGAATTCCCAGAGTTCCCTTTTTCTTTTCAAAGTGGGACTCCCACTCGGGTGTCCTACACATCCCCTGACATCTGGCCGGTACCGCGCCTCCTGGCTTCCCTGGGGGAGGCCCCAAGACGCCGAATGACAGCCGATGACGACCCCAAGGAGCCCCCAGAACGTAAAGAACGGCCCAACACGCTCCCGCCGCGGGAGTCCCGCGCAGCCCGAGACACCCTTCCGACCGCTCTCCAGGCCTCCAGGAGGCCTCAAGAACCGCCAGGGGGTCCGGAAAATCCCACACCTCTGAGGGGCCCGGCTAACACTACCCGCGAGGCACAAACAAAAAACAGCGCCGAACAGCGCCGAGGAACTGGAAAAGCATTGGAATTCCACAGTTCTTTTTTTTTGTTCTCCAAGTTTGGCCCCCGGTCTACTCCTGCACAACAGACCACAATTCAGACCCCTTTCACCTCCCAAAAAAGAACCCAGGAAGCCTTTGAGAGCTCAATATCGTTGAATACCTAAGGAAATTGATGATTTCTGCGTTTCCGTATTTCCCCTTCTATACGATTCCGAGGCTTGCGCAGGGCCTCTGGACGCAAGAAGCGACCACAATGAGATTACACGAGTTAGTTGATCAAGCCTAGCTAGAACTTGAGCGCGCGCGAAGCGCGCGATGGTTCTAGTATACTCACACATACACATATATATACACATATATAGAGCTACATCTACATATCGCTATACAAGCACACATACTTACATCTAGGGGTGCGTGCACATAACTATATTCAGGGGTTTCGTGTAACTTGACGTTAAAACGAGGTTCGTCCGCAACGTCTCTCTCTCAAGTCTGCTGTTTCAGGGAGCGGATGCCTCTCGCGCTCCCCGGCCCAGTCGGCGCCCCCGGGCCTCGGTTGGCCCATTCGGCGCTGGCGGCGCTCCTGGCGGCGGCAGCGGGCGGCCTCTGGGGATTGGAGCTGCTCGAGTTCGAGGCGCCGGCCCCTGCGGCGGCCCCGGCTCCTCCGCCGCCGCTCCCCACCTGCGAAGTGCCGCAGTCCTGGGGCTGCCCCGACTGCCCCGTGTCGCCAGCCTGCCCAGTTTGCTCAGGCTGCCCGACGCCGACGGCCGGCGGGACGGGCGTGGCGGAGCAGGTGGCCGCTCATGATGTACTCGTTGGAGGACTCCGGCGAGCGGCGGCGTGGGCTGCGGAGAGAGGGCGTCGGCTTGTGGCGAGGCGCGCGCCAGACGGCGGCCGTCCTCCTCGCGATGTCGCTGTGGATGTTCGCGGGCGGCGTGGCGTGGTGGAGTGAGCTGAAGCTGGGGCCGACGGTCGGCGATCAGTACCTCGGAGATGCGGTGGACCACGAGCGATGGCTGCTTCACCCGTGCTCTCGGAAGAAGGATGTCTGGATCATCGCCACGCCCGACCTGGATGAGCTCCCAGGGGCTGCTTCGACAGGAGTGGATGAGGACATCGTCGAGACGTACCCGCGGCCAGACATTGGCTCGGAGCTCCTTTGGCTGGACAGGAAGCTCTATCGGTCTCTATCGTACCTTGGCCGCGAGGAGTTTGGGGACATGATCAAGTGTGGGTATCGGGCGGCGGCTACCTATGTACCTGGCTCTGAGGTGGCGCCTCCGGCGCCGGACGGCGCGCCCTTGCCGACGGACGAGGTGGTGCCCTCCAGCGAGCTGTTCCCGCACTGGCCTGCGTCAGCTCGCCAGATGCGGAGCAGGCGGCCCTCGGGTGGCTCGTCGCAGGACGCGCCGGGCCTGGGTGCCGACGGCGCGGCCGCTCACAGGAATGCGCATCGGGCCTCCGACATTCGCATTCTTGGGGTGGACTACGACAGTCGGAGAGAGAGATTCAAGGGCTGGCGCGGCGTGACCCGCGATATTACTCAGGAGACGTTCTCGCATAAGCCTCTGGAGGGCCCTGGCCTCGCCCTGTTCCCCGCAAAGCTCCTCGACCTCCACGGCTGCGACCCTCGCCAGTGGCTCCTCATGTGGTTTAGAGAGCGCAAGTTCGATGGCTCGGAGCATACTTACCAGGAGATGAGAGCGCTGCATGATGCTCTGTACTTTGTGGGAGTGCACGATCGATTGAGCGTTGGAGCCCTCGCATCGGACGGGGCTTTGTGCCGCTGCATCCAGATCATCATCGTTGTGCGCGCTAACTCTCAGAAGGTCACCTGGGAGCACGCCGCGCCGCGCAGGGGCACTGGGGCGCTCGAGGGCCCCGTCGGCCCGGCCCTCCAGTCGCGCGCGGCGCAGCTGGCCGAGGATCGGGCTGACATGGCTGCGGCTCTGGGCCAGGATGGCGCTCGGGGGCTCCGCGGCGGCCCCGCTTCGGCGGCGGAGGCCGCCGACGCGGGCGACGCCGCGGCGGGCGCTGGAGGTCGCGGAACACGCGGGGTCACGGCGGCGGGGGGCGCGAGGGCGGCGGCCGAGGGCGGCGCGGATCCGCGCCCGCTGCCGCCGATCATTGGCACCCCCGAGGGGGCCCGCCCCTCCCTCGGCGGGCAATCGCGGGGCGCTGGGGCACCTTCCCCAGGTGGCCGTTCGCGGAGGGACTTCCTCCCTCTGCCTGTGCCCGCTCTGCCTGCAGGCCCCGCCACTTCGACTCGCTCGGCAAAGAAGGCTTGGGGCCGCGCTCGGCGGCGCGCAAAGATGGTGCAGGAGGCGGTCCACGACTGAACTGGCTTGCTGGCTACGACGCCTGGGGCCCTTCTCAGGAGCCTGCCTCGCCTGGAGTTTTGACGCCCGAGGTGATGGCCCGCGTGGAAGGCCTCGTCAAAGACTGGGGGCCCATGCCTGAGGCCCTCTTTGGGCGGGAGGCCCTCCGAGACCTCCTGCGCGGCCGGCCCCTGTGCGAGCCGAAGACTGGCCCCTCGAACCTTGCGGCCTTCCACGCCGACCTGGCGTCGCTGCCGAGCGACGCGTCGGGGCCCCCTTCCGATTGAGTCGCTGCTGGACGCCGAGGTCTCTCGATATTTGGAGGCCCATCATGAGCTGATGCTGCGACCCGTGACTGACTTGGAGAGTATCGAATCCGAGGCGCGAGAGATCACGCCGTACACCGATAGGAAGCTGCTGTACAATAAGAAGGCCTACCACGGCTTTGTCAGGCGGCTTTGGGATCTTGGCATGTTGGATGCCACCCCCAGGCCCTTGGAGAGGATTGGGGTCTTCTTCGTCTGGAAGATTTACAAGACACGCCTCAGGCTGATCATCGACGCTCGGAGAAGCAACTGCTGGTTCCGTGCCCCTCCAGGCGTCCGTTTGTGTACTTCGGAGGCCTTCGCGAACGTCGAGGTTGGCGATAGCGTCTTCGCGGGCCTGGAGAGGGTCAGGTTGTACCTCGGCATGGCGGACGTGAAGGGCTGCAACCGCCGCAAGGCGCTTGCCTGGCTCAGGCCCTAGTTCGCCTGGCCGGAGGTGCCCGCGCGGGCGCTGGGGCTGCGCGAGCTGGACGGAGTGCAGCTCAAGGCCACCGACGCAGCGTGGCCCATCTCCGCCCCCATGTGCACGGGGTTCGCTTGGTCGTTGTATTTCGCCCAGAAGGCTGGCGAGCGGCTGGCGGCTGCGGCGCCCAGCTTGCACGGGTCGGCGCCGCTGCGCGACAGGTCGCCCCCCCTGTTGCTGGCCGAGGGCCGCCCCCGCCACTGCGCGTACGTGGACAACCTGGGCGCCTTCGTCCGGGACCGGGGCCTGGCCCAGAACGCGGTCCGCGAGTGGGAGGCGAGCTTCGCTGACCACGGGCTGGAGCTCCACGGCGGAGAGGTGGTGAGCAGGGGCATCCGCGCCCTCGGCTGCCGGCTTGACGGCCAGCAGCTGCGGACCGCCACCACGCCCGAACGTTTTTGGAAAGTGTGTGCTGCGAGTGAGGAAATACTCCGCCTGGGTAGATGTGCAGGTTGGGCTCTTGAATGCTGGCTGGGTCACGCTACCTTCCTGAGTATGATCCAGAGGGGCCTCTTATCAGTCTTTCACACGTGCTATCGCGTTTGTCGTGTCCATTACTCGGAGGTCACTCCGCAATGGCCCTCCGTTCGCGATGGGATCCGAGCCTGGAAAGGGCCGATGGTCTTTCTAATTCAGGACTGGGGGCGTTGTTGGAGTGAGCTGGTGACTGAAAGTGATGCCAGTGAGCAAGGATATGGAGTCTGCACGTCGTTCTGGCGCCAGGCGCAGGTTTCTTCCGTCGGCCGCGTTCTGGAGAGGAGCAGGTTTCAGCTCAAGTGCTCGCGAGTCGGCCCTCAGCGCGGCCGGCCCCGTTCGGAACCCTCGTTCTGGTGCCTGGGAAACCCCGGGGGGCGAGAGCGCCGATTTCTCCGTCGCGCTCGATTTTCCTGGGGCCCCAGCGGGGCTACTCGACAAAAGCCTGTGGACCCCTCGCGTCTGGGGCAAGTGGAGTTTTGCCGAGGACATCCTCATTCTCGAGGCTCGTGCCTTGGGGCTGGGAGTCCGTCGAGTTTTGTCCTGAACTCCCCTGGGTGTCACTGTAGGGCTCTGATGCTTAGCGACAACATGAGCATCGTCTTGGCCTTTGCACGGTCCCGCTCACGCGAACTTCGGCTCCTCATTTACATCCGTCGGGCCGTGGCATATAGCCTCTCTCGCAATGTAGTTTTCTCGTCTAGGTGGATTCCAAGTGAATTGAACTCAGCGGACGAACCCTCGCGTCGACACGACCCCGATTTTCCTAAGAGGCCGACTCCGTGCCCAGTTCGGCTCAAAGCTTCCTCGGATGCCGCCTCGTCCGACAGCGCCCCGGACTCGTGCTCTGTCTCGACCAGTGCCCCAGGATGTGCCGAGGCCGAAGCGCCGGCGAGCCTGGAGGCACCCTTCAAGCGCCAGAGCTGGGGGCGCGGCTCTCGGGCCGACGACGCCGAGACGGTCTTCCTGGACGTGGGGCCCGCCAAGCGACTTGGCGCACCGTCCGCCGACGACGGGGCCGGGCCTGCCGGGCGGCCTCGCCGCCGTTGGGCCGGCAGTGCTGGCCCCGGCGCCGGCTCCAGCTCGAGCGGCAGCTCCTCGTCCGAGCCCGGGCCCGACGCCGTCGGCGGAAGGGCGAGGGGGCTGGCGACGCGGTCGCGGCGGCGGCTGCCGAGGCACTTGGGGGCGGCGCTGGGCATCGAGAAGGAAGGCCTGGTTTGGCTGGGGGACAAGGCGGCGACGGCCAACGCGTGGCGCTACTACCCGAGCCACCTCCAGGACTACGCGACGTCCGCAGAGGGGCTCGGCCCAACGCTCGCGGGCGACGGTGACGGGGACGACTAGCGCGTGAAGCTCGTCAGCGCGAGCTTCCTCTCTGGCCGTCTGTCGGACTATGGGGAGAAGGGGCCGTCGGCCTTTGCCGACCGCCACCCGGCCTTCATCAGGGCTGGCATGCGGCGGCTCCCCCGGGCCTGGCGCTGCCTGCGGGGCTGGCGCCGCCTTGCGCCTGGCCGTTCCAGGCGTCCTATGCCTCAGGCGGTGTGGAAGGCGATCGCCGCGGCCGTGCTCCTGGGCGCGGGGGCCTGCTCACGGCCCCACGAGCTGGCGAAGATTCGGCCCGAGGACCTGTTCCCCCCCGTGCGGGAGATATCGAGGCACTGGTCTCCTATCATCTACCCGCGGGGCAGGGGCATCTCCACCGAGAGGGGGGCGATGGACAGCAGCGTGATGCTGGGCAGCAAGTGGAAGCTGGAGCTGGCGTCGTTGTGGTCTTCGATGGCGGGAGCTCCCAACGACGAGCCTGTCTGGACGTTCGCGCACCCAGCGCCGGTAGGGAAGTTCAAGGGGGCGCTCGGCCAGATGGGCGCCCCAGCGGTGCCCTACTTGGCGCAGCGCAGCAGCCCCAGCATCGGCAAGGACCTGCAATCGATCCCTCGCGACGAGGTGCACGAGGGAGGCCGCTGGACAGGCCGCTAGTCGTCCGTTCGATACGGGGGGGCGGCGACGCTGAGCAAAGCCTGGCACTACCTCCCTCTGGCGACCCGGGCGAGTTGCGGGGCGCTCGACGCGCGCCTCGAGGAGCTGCTGCTGCGAAGTGCCAGCCGCGTAGCTGGCGGCGCGGAGCGGCGCTGAAAGGCCAGCATCTCGGCGATTTCTGCTCGGGCGAAGGCGGGGTCGCCCACGCCAGCCGCCGACGAGGTGCGCCTGCGCGGACCTGGGGCCTCCGAGAGGGGCCCCAAGGAGACCTAACTCGTCCGCCTGTGCTCAGATGCATACGCCAAGACGCCAGCTTGGGCCGTCTCTTAGCAGCTGTGTTCGCCCCCCCTTGTCAGGCGTTCTCTATAGCCAGAGACCGCACCGCGGTCATGCGAGCGACCGGGCATCCGTGGGGAGTCCCCCGGTGTAGCACACGGGACGCGGTGAAGTTGGTGCAGGGGAGCGCGTGTCTCAACGCGTGTCTGAATACTATAAATTATGTGCATGCTCGTAAGATTCCGTGGATGCTCGAGAATCCTAACTCGTTTAAGATGTGGGTGATCCCGCAGGTGCGAGCGATGCTGTCTCGGGAGAGCGTCGACATGGTTACAAGCGATTTTTGCCAGTTCGGTGCTCCTTGGAGGAAACGCACTAGGTTTATTTGCGGAAGAATCCCCCGAGAAGACCTGGTCCGTTTAAGTCGATTTTGCACAGGGAAATGGGTTTTTGCAATATGACTGGACGTAAACATCACCAGTTAGAAGAAACCGCAGCGACACGTAGAGCCCAACCTTACCCAAAGAGGTTGTGCGAATCGCTCGCTCACTCGCTGTTGCGTCGTATTCGAAACACCGTGATCAACTATTCCGATCTTGCGCTCGCGACCCGCCCTCGCCCAGACCCTCCTTAATTCGAGAACTTCCCCTTTTTGCGGGTGTTTTCGGGACTATTTAAGGCTCGGTCCAGGGGTGCTGGCCCAATCCCTGTAGCGGCCGGGTCGCAGCCGCCAAGACGCGCGTGGTTTCTACGAGACATATCTTATCCGCTGAAAAAGAAGCCCCGTTGATACAGGGATGCGTGCATATAGCAATCTTCAGGGGTTTCGTGTAACTCGACGTTCTTTAAAAGGAGGTTCGTCCGCAACGTCTCTCTGTCAAGTCTGCTGTTTCAGGCCCCCCCCCCCACACACCAGGACTTTTTAAGGCTCGGTCCAGGGGTGCTGGCCCAATCCCTGTGGCGGCCGGGTCGCAGCCGCCAAGACGCGCGTGGTTTCTACGAGACATATCTTATCCGCTGAAAAGGAAGCCTCGTCGATATCGATATATTGGTTCATCCATCTATATGTGTATACATGCATGTATATATGTACATGCATGCATATGTAATTATGTAGGTACGTGCGTCTATATACTTAGGTCTTTATATGAATACGGCACAACTATGCTCATATATATATATATATATATATATATATATATATATATAGCTCATTGCATTTTTATAAAGCCAGGGCAAAGCAACAGACAGGCAGCCTGTGCACAGAGTAGAGAGGGACGGAAAGGACAGCACGACCGACAGGCGATGCCAACACACGGGACACCCCCACCTCCAGGCCCGGACCCCAACGAGCCAGGTCCTGCCGCGGCGGCGAGAATCCACCCGCCAACGACGGCGGCCCCAGGCACCCACCTCCAACGCCCCTACAAGTAGGGGTCAGAGGGGATCAGACCACCTCGACGTAGGGGTCGAGCCCCGCGGGGTCCTCAAGGGTGGACCCGGGGAAGCGGAGCAGTCCATCGGTCCTTGAAGCATTCGCGATGACCTGGAAGGGCGCTCAGGTTTCCCCCTTTTCAGGCCCCCCGTTGCTCCACACCTGGCTCCACCTCCCCATGAGGATGCCCAGGTGCCCCCTCGCGTGGTTGCACCGAAATCGGGAGGACTGCTCCCTCGGAGGGGCCATAGCCGTGCGGCCGACCCCTCGCGAGCGCGCAGCCCGCCGCGCGCGGCCGCTGCCCCCCGAGCGATGCGCGCCGGCGCCGCCGCTGCCGCGGCGGGGAGGCCCGCCGCTGGCGCCACGTGTGCGCCGCCGCCTCCCGGCGCAGCAGGCAGCGCCGCGGCGTCGGGCGCGGCCGAGGGGCTGGAGAGAGCCGAGGAGCACAGAGCACGAAGAAGAAAACACGCCATGAGCATAAAACTTTGGCGCTCCGCGCTGGATTTCTTGGATCCGCGCCTGGGCCCCCCCCGGCGGCGCCTCTGGCGCCGCCCCTGGCGCGCTCCCTGCGCCAGGGAGGGGGGTCTTACGCAGATCCAGGACATCCGCGCAGAGCGCCAAACATTGATGTTTACGGCGTGTTTGCTTCGTCTGACAGAGCGGCACACGCCCAGATCTCCAACACATTCGAGCTCCCGAGGCTTTCCGGGCCCGAGGTTTCCGGGCGCGGGATGCCTTCCAGCAGCTGCGCCTCGCCGAGAGCGTTTCTGGGGGTGCCGGGATCGTCCCAAACGGCCGCCAGAAGCTCGAGTTTTGGCCCGGAAGCCACCCGGAGCCTAGACCTCCAACGCTGAGGATTCCTTCGGTTGTCTGAAGGGGCACTCATAAGATTGACCATCGTCTTGTGCTGGAGGCCGGTTACACTGAAGTTTTCAGTCGTTTTCGGCGTTCGGGGCCCCTCACTGGGCACCTGGACCGTCGAACAGATATTTGGTACGAAGAATCGGTCTCCCAGAGGTGGTCCAGAGCTTCAGGGGCCCCGCATTGAACAAAAATCAGAAGATCGGAGGTCTGGGAGCATAAACGTTCGGAGCTCCGCGCGGATTTCGTGGATCGGGTCTGGGGCCCTTCTGGCGGCGTCGCCCCTGGCGCGCTCCGCGCGCCAGGGGTGGGCTCCCCTTTCTATTCTTCCTGTGACCCCTTCTTTTTGCCCTGGGGAGGCTGTAGCGCCCGTCCGCACCCTGTATTTTCTTCCTGTGCCCCTTTTTGTTTCTTGCCGCCTGTCCCCGATGGAACCCATTTCTTTCTTGTGTGCAGCCCTTGGAGGGACCTGCCCAGGAGGGGTCCGCCTGGGGGTTCCCTGGGGGGAGTCTTCCTGGGAGGGAGGGGGCTCCCACGGAGGAGGAGGAGGAGGAGGAGGAGGAGGAGGAGAAGGAGGAGTGCGCTCCCACAACTGTCAAACATCCCTTCTGCAAAACGAGCGCGGGGCTCGAAATACCCTCGAGAAACCTGCGCGCAGGCGCGCCGTCCTCGAGCGGGCACGCGCGGGCTCCCTCCTTCGCCTCCCCCTCCTCGCCTTCCCAGTCCTCTCCGCGCCCCCCAAGACCGGCACCCCCGGAGTCCCCCGTGCCGAGCATGCCAGTTGGAGGGTGAAAGAGGGGGTTGCAACAGGGGGCCTTCAATGGGGGCCGAATGGCCCACGTATGCTCAGTGTATCGCTCGTGTATGTGATCGGGTACGATTGGCATCCAATGTTGGCGGTCATGGATGGCCAGTGCGGGCACACGCGCCGCCCATCCATTCTCGTTCATGCGTGCGGGCGTTCTTGCATGTTGCGCGTGGGGCGGCGAAGTGGAGTGCAAGTGTGTCTTGATTGTGCGATTGATGATCGCGTATGGCCCCAAACGATGACTTATCGACCCCAAGACTGATTTGGATTGGGTCCCGCGATTTTCCCAAAATGTGAATTCACATCGTTCTTCTTCCCAAAATGTGAATTCACATTTTCCTTTTTTTTCCAAACTGTGAATTCACATTCTGGCCCCTTGCATACAGACTCCTACACAAAATTCCAAAATGTGAATTCACATTTCCCCTTTCTCTTAAATGTGAATTCACATTTTCCTTTTTCCCACAATGTGAATTCACGAGATTCGAAGACCCTGAGGGTCTCCGAATCTCGTGATGTGGTCGGTGTTCTGCGCAACATGCTCCGCATTGGTTTTTCAATGGAAAGCGGTGGTCTGCGGGCCCTGGTAGGCAACGGAGATCCGAGATGGGGGGCGCACTTTCCTTGAGCGGGCACGCGCGAACCGCACGTTGTTTCAACACGCTTGGAGTTGATTTAGTTTTTCATCGAGCGGAAATATGCCGGCCCTCTACGGGTCTACCTGGTAGAAGAACACCCTGGGCCCAAACCATTTCCGCGAAAAAGGGCCCCGCCCGTGCCCGTGGGGAGGAAAATAAAGTCGCAGGGAAAAGCCAGAGTAGGCAAGCGAAGACAAAGGTCGCAGGAGGAACATTAATGATCGCGGGGCTGTCGGCTGTCAAAAAACGGCCTAGAATGAAGAACCATTCCTTGGAAAGAGGTCTAAATCCATGGGGAGCCATGTTTGGAACATATTCATGACGTTCGATGTGTGGGGGTGGGGGGCTGGGCCAGGGGGGGACCATCCATCCCCAGTCGCCCATCCATCGCCAGTTGGAGCCTGGGCCCCTCAGGACGGACCCCCTACAGGAGAAAAAAGGGTCACAGGAAAACAACAAAGAGCACATCGCCAAGGAAGGGGTCTGCGACCACTGGCGAAACCTACCCCTGCGGGTCCATTCGACGGTGGGGTATCGAACGCCCCCGCCAGGGTTCACCTGGCTGCAGACATCTTTTGAACTCGGAACCCCAGCTGCTTTTTCAGAACTCGGATCTGCAGTGCAGGGTATGGTTCGCATGTGGCTGCTGAGAGGGGCCCAGCGGAGATCTCAGAAGTCCGCGCGGAGCTCCGAAAGTTTCTGTTTCGAAAGGGCCGAGCGTAACCCCAGAGCGACGTGCCCCCAGTAAGACGTCGCGAGAGCCACGATTCCAGCCACGGCATGCGCCACGACCTAGCTGCTAGGCGTCCCGAGGTGGGCTCCGCGGACCCCCTTTCCTCCCTCCTCGAGGAGCAGCACCCTGTGATCGCTGCGGAGATGACAGAGGTGAAGGCCTGGCTCACCGAGTGGTCGCTGGGCCTCGAGTCCAGCCTGGCAGGCCACCAGGCCTCGCTGGAGGCGGCGCAGGAGCGCCTCGAGCGCCGCGAGGACCGCCTCCTCGGCCGGCCGGCCCTCGCGAGCCACAGCTGGGCTCTCCGGCGGCCTCCTTCGGGACGGGCCGAGCACCCGGGGCTCGCGGTCGGCGAGGCGCAGCTGCTGGAGAGCACCCCGAGGTTGGAAAGCCGACGAGAGCCGAGGAGGAGGAGGAGGAGGAGGAGGAGGAGGAGGAGCAGGAGGAGGAGGAGGAGGAGGAGGAGGAGGAGGAGGAGGAGGAGGAGCAGGAGGAGGAGGAGGAGGGGGCCGCGAGGACCGCTTCGTCGACCAGCTGCGCGGCCTGCTGGGGGAGGCCGCCGCAGGGCGCGCGCCGAGGCTGCAGGCGGCGCCGGGCGCCGCGGCCCCCGAGGCCTGCGGGAGCGCGGCGTCCTCGTGGTGTTCCTCCAAGGTGGAGGCCCCGCCAGCGCCCGCGACGACAGCGACGACGGCGACGGCGACGACGGCGACGGCGAGGACGGCGACGGAGACGACGGCGGCGACGGCGACGACGACGGCGACGACGACGGCGACGACGACGGCGACGGCGGCGGCGGAGGCCCCGCCAGCGCCCGCCGCGGCCCGCGCCTCGACGGCCGTGCCGGCGGCGGGCGGCGCGGCGCCAGAGGGCAAGCCGCGCACGTGGTCAGAGGAGGGCTAGCTGAGACACTGGCAGTCAGATAGTTAGTCACGGATGCTTCCGCTCGTATTGGATTGAATGTATGTGGGCGAATCGCGCCCAAGAGCATTCAATGCGCCAAGTAGCGCCCAATAGCTCCCAGTAGCGCCGAACAGCGCTCGAATGGCGCCCAATGGCGACCAACAGCGCCCACTAGCGCCGCGCCCGGGGCGCCACGGGGACGACCAAGAGCTTCAGTGAATTTCTTTACTGACGGTAGTTGGTCTTCGGGGGCACCCCCGTTGCAACGGCTGGACGCAGCTTGGAAAATTGGTGCGTCTGAACCCCAGGAGGGGTCCAGGGATCGATCAATGCCATTCCCATCCCCACAGGGTCATGTGGCATCTCAGCCCCACCATCCCACCACCCCAGTTGGGGACAGGCCCCCCGAAACCCGAAGGGAACCGCCTGTATCCCCACCTAGTGGGGTAAATTGGGCACTGGGGCCCAGGCCGCGCAAGTGGGGACAGGGATCGGTAACACGATGCTCAGGGGGCGGCCGCTGTCTCAGCTCGCCCTGCCCCGAGGAGGACGGGCCGCACAGGTGGAGCCCCAGTGCGGCGGCGGCGCCGAACGCCGGGGACGTGAAGTCCTTGGACGGCGGGTCCGTGACCGCCCTGGACGCCAGGTGGGACGACGCAGCGGGGCCAGATGCGCCGGCATTGCCGCGCAGGCCGCCCGCATGAGGTCGTGTGCAAGCGCTCTCGTTTCATATGTAGCGTGCCGCGCTGGCGGTTCGCCTAAGCCACCGCGTGAGGTCGCGACGCCTTTCGCGTAAGACCTGTTTCGTTTCTCTCGCTCAGGTGGGACGACACGCTGAAGTGCACCGAGAACCAGCCGCCGAGGTCCGTGGTCCGACCCAGCAGTCCACCGCCGCTGCCGCGGGAAGCCAGTCGGTTACTCTGATGCGCCTTGCCTCATGGTTTCGAGGAAGAAGTGGTTTTGACATATTTGTTGTTGAGGTCCGCGCGGATCTCTTGGATCGGCGAAGGAACTCCCCCTCCCTGGCTCGCGGAGCGCGCCAGGGGGTTTAGCGCCGATCCAAGAGATCCGCACGGAGGTCCGAAAGTTTCTGTTCCTGCTGTCGTCTGTTCTTCGGCTGTTGAGGGCGTCCTGGGGTCCCCCCGCGTCGGTGTCGTTCCACTGATCCCCATCCCCGTCCCCATCCTTCGGTAGCAAATCATGGGGGCCTGGTATACCCTGGCAATTCGGTCTTTAGCGTCGATTAGCGTCGACTCGCGTCTGGAGTCGATGCGATAGCGCCGATTTAGCGTCGATCATCGTCGATTTAGCGCTGAGTTAGCGTCGACTCGCGTCGATTTAGCGTCGATTAGCGTCGACGTAGCGTCAGCCGACAAGATGGTATGGGAGAGAGACCACTGAACCACCCCCATCCCGATCCCCACCACCCCGAACCATCCCGGTTGGGGACACGCCCCCTGGGAACTCCAAGGGAACAGCCCACGGCCGGGCGCAGCGCGAGAAGCTGGCCGGCGGGCAGCCGAGGTCTCTCGGGGCGTGGGCCGTGCCCGCACGGCTCGTCGGAGGCGCAAGCGTCCGCGCCGTGGCGCGGCATGGGGGCCGTTCTCGTGTTCGCTGTGCTGCCGATCGGCGCGGGCCCTCGCAGCCTCTCTGCTGCCCCCCCTCCCCCCGTGGAGCAGATCTCGGCTGCCTCTGGCGCCCGTTTCGAGCAGGGGGAGTCTCCCCCGCTGGACGCACGGTCTGCAAACAGTCGCCCTGAGTTCGCCAGAGTCGCACTCGGGCCCCCCCCCCCCCCTCCTCCTCCCCCCCCTCCTCCCCCCTCCCCCTCCTCCTCCTCCTCCTCCTCCTCCTCCTCCTCCTCCTCCTCCTCCTCCTCCTCCTCGTCCTCCTCCTCCTCGTCCTCCTCCTCGAGAACGGGGGATTGTGGAGCCCCTCGGGGTTCCAGAGCGCGCGAGGCTTTCACACTGAGTTCGCGCGTGCGTCTTTCAGTGGTGTGTCGTACTCTGTGGCGTCCTCCTCTCCTTCCGCCTCCCCCTCCTCCTCTCCTCCTCCCTCCTCCCTCCTCTCCTCCTTTTTTTTTTTTTTCTCTCTCTCTCTCTCTCTCTCTCTCTCTCTCTCCCCCCTCCCCCGCCCCAACAAAAAAATCAGGCTGGAAATGGTTAACATGATTTTTGTTTTTTTTGGGGGGGGGTCGGCGGCAAAAAAAAGGAATGCGACGTGACCTAATATGCCCTCCCCCCTGGAAGGATTCCTATTGAACGCCCCCACAAGAAGGATTCATAGTGAAATCTTCTACAGAAGGATTCCTATCGAAACCCTCCACTGAATGATTCGTGCTGGAATCCTCCACGTATGATGGATTCCTATTGAAATCACCTGCAGAAGGATTGGTATTGAGATGCTTCGAAAGAAAGAATTCCCCGTTGGCATTGCATTGGCATTGGTTTGGCAATGGTTTGGCATCGCATTGGCATTGCGTTGGCATTGCACTTGGCAGTGCGTTGCTAGTGTGCTTGCGTTTCGCAAGCATTGCGCTGCCGAGTCCTAATGGAACCCTCCACAGAAGGACTCCGATCGAAACCTTCTACAAGAAGGATTTCTATTGAAACCATCCACAAAAAATGGTTCATATTGACACCCTCCAAAGCAGGATTCCATGCGAAACCCTCCACATAAGGATTCCTATTGAAATCTACCACAATGGATTTCCCCCATTGGCAGTGCATTGGCATTGGGTTGGGATCGCTTTGGCATTGGTGTGGCATTGCGTTGGCACTGCGTTGGAATTGCGCTGGCATTGCGCTGGCGAGTTCCAACACCTCCCTTCGCAGAGTGATTCCTGTTGAACCCCCCACAAGAAGGATTCCGATTGAAGCATCCCACAAGAAGGGTTCACATTGAATTCCCTCACGGAAAGATTCCATTCGAAGCCCTCCATAGAAGGATTCTTTTTGAACCCGGCCACAAACGATTTCCCGCATTGGCATTGCATTGGCATTGAATTGGGATCGCGTTGGCATTGGTTTAGCATTGCGTTGGTATTGCGTTGGCATTGCGCTGGCGAGTTCTGATGGCTCCCCCCACAGAAGGATTCCTATGAACACCTTGCACAAGAAGGGATCCTGTTGAAAGCCCCCATATGAAGGATTCAAAGCGAACGCCCCCACAGAAAATCCAATCGAAACCCTCCACGGGAGGATTCCTATCGAAATCCTCCGAAGAAGCATTCGTACCTAAATCATCCAAATAAGGATTCCGAGTGAAATCTGATGGAAGACAGACATCCCGCCATCGGCATTACATTGGCATTGGTTTGACAACGGTTTGGCATCACATTGGCTTTGCATTGGCATGGCGATGGCAGTGCGTTAGCAGTGCGTTGGCATTGCGTTGACATTGCGCTGGCGAGTCCTACTCAAACACTTCACATAAGGATTCCTATTGAACACACCCACAAAAAGGATGCCTATTGAATCCCCCCCAGAAGAAGGATTCAAATTGAAATCCTCAACAGAAGTGTTCCATACGAAGCCCTCCATAGAAGGCTTCCTATTGAAATCCCCCGAAGAAGGGTTCTTAGAAGGATTGCTATTGAAATTTAACCACAAACAATTCCCCCCATTGGCATTGCATTGGCATTGGTTTGGCATTGCGTTGGCACTGCTTCGGCATTGCGCTGCCGAGTTCGAATGGCTCCCACCACAGAAGGATTCCTTACTACCTTCCACAAGAAGGGCTCCTTTTGAAAGCCCCCCACATAAAAGATTCACACTGAACCCCCCCACGGAAGAATTCCAATCGAAACCCTCCACAGGTAGGATTCCTTTTGGAATATACCACAAGGATACCCCCCATTTGCATTGCATTGGCATTGAATTGGGATCGCCTTGGCACTGGTTTTGCATTGCGATGGCAGTGCGTTAGCAGTACGTTAGCATCGCGCTGGCGAGTCCTAATGGCTCCTTCCGCAGACGGATTCCTACTGAAACCCTCCACAAGAACGATTCCGATTAGATCCTCCCACATGAAGGATTCCTAGTGATGCCCTCCACATGAGGATCCCTATCGAAACCCTGCACATACGCATTGCTATTGACATTATCCGAAGAAGCATTCGCAATGACATCATCCACAAAGTATTCTTATTGAAACCTACCGAACGAAAGGATTCCCCCATTGGCGTTGCATTGGCATTGGTGTTGGTTGGGAATGGATTTGTATCGCATCGGCATGCGTTGGCATGGTGCAGGAGATAGACAAAGAGAGAGAGAGAGAGACAAAGAGAGAGAGAGAGAGAACACTAGAGAACGATATAACGAGACAAGACTAGTATGAGGGGATCACGGCGAACAGAAAAATACAAAAAAACACATGTTCAGGGTGAAAGAGCGTTTCACTCGATAAAAAACCGTATGAAAACGACGAGGGGCTCCACAATCCCTTGGCCTCTCCTCCTCCTCCTCCTCCTCCTCCTCCTCCTCCTCCTCCTCCTCCTCCTCCCCCTCCTCCTCCTCCTCCCCCTCCTCCTCCTCCCTGCGGCCCACTGTCGACACGCCGAGTAGGAGAAAGCTCACGCATGGGGGGCTGGCGGCCGGCCTCTGCGCGCGGCGGGCGGCGGTGGGCAGCCCGGAGGATCCGAAGCCCTCACAGCTCGGCGACTACGAAGGGTAGGAGGAGGAGGGGGAGGAGGAGGGCGAGGGGGAGGAGGAGGAGGAGGAGGAGGAAGAGGAGGAGGAAGAGGAGGAGGAGGAGGGGAGGAGGAGGAGAGAGGAGGAGGAAGAGGAGGAGGAGGAGGAGGAGGAGGAGGAGGAGGTTCCGCCGGGGTATGGTCTGCGATCGGCACCGCTGGTCAGGGGCCCCCAAACGGTGTGGTGACCACACCGTGTGGTGAGTCGGTGGGGATTCGGGGTCGCCGCTCGGTGTTGGGACTCGAGTCCCTCTCCGAGGACGTCTCGGGCGGCAGGGGCCTCCAGGGTCCTGAAGCCGTGCGGCGACGGGCCGTGCGGTGAGGTCTTGGGGGATCTCGAGGTCACCGCACGGTCCGTCACCGCCGCACGGCTTCGGGACTCCAAAGTTGGTGCCTGGGGGGCACGGCGCGGTCCTCGTCGGGCCGCCTCGGGGCGCGGCGGGGAACCCAATATGTCGGGGTTCCAGTTGCAAACCACACCCCTTGCAGGCCATGCGCTTCGGAGTCGCCGAGGGGAGGCTCGGCCTCAAGTCTGGAGATCTTGTCGCCTTGGAGCGCTTCGCTGGAGGGTCATGGCAGAGGTCAGCGGAAAGACCACGGACGAGCCCCACACGGGGGGAATAGGGAGCCTGAGATCGTCCGGGCCAGAGGCGGTCCGGCAGCCGTTGCGCCTGAGATCCCATCGCACATGGCTCCGGAAATCTCACCGCAGTGCCGGCTGCAGGTGTGGTCCAGACGGCCACGATCCCTTTCTGCGAGAGTTGCATTGGGGCCCACATGGCCGTGCACTCCTGTCCCCAGCAGGCGACCTGCTACTCCTCGTCCCGCCCCTTCGCTTTTGCTGCTGGATTATCAGGGCGCTTTGCTGGGGCAAATCTAGGGAAACGAAGAATGACATGACAAAAATAGACATAAAAACTCGGAGGTCCGCGCGGATTTCTCGGATCGGCGCTGGACCCCCCTCCCTGGCGCGCGGAGCGCGCCAGCAGCGGCGCCGGAGGCGCCGCCAGGGGGCCTCAGCGCCGATCCGAGACATCCGCGCGGACCTCCGAATTTTCATTTGTATGTCATTGCTTGTTCCCCTAAAATCCCTCCGTCCCTGGAGGTCCCTTCATCCAAGGCGTGCCAGGGTGGAGGTGCGACCCCCGGGACAAGAGGTTTTGGATCCTCTGGCAGCGGTTGCCCCCGAGAGGTCCCACGTGTGGGCCCTGCTGTCGGCCCAGGGGTGGCTGAAAGGCCCCGGCGGCGTGCTCCTCTTCCTTCTCCTCCTCTGCCCGGCCATGAAGGAAAAGGGTCCCCCCAACAGGTCTTTGGTGTCCCTGAGCAGCTTGTCTGCGAAGGTCGTTCTTGTTTTGTTTTTGTTTGTTCTCTCTCTCTCTCTCTCTTTCTCTCTTTTTTTGTTGTCTTTGTCTTTTGTCTGTGTATGTTTTCCTTTATCTTTGTAATCTATATGTGTATATATATGTATAGATATGTATATACAGTTATACAGCTATACATATATCGAAGACGCCTACAGCGAATCACCGCCACCCCGTGTCTTTTAGGATACGCCTAGTGGCACGTTTGGGCAAAGTTTGGCCACGCTATTGGACCATGCGTCCCCCCAGAAGTTGTGTAAGCCGTTCGGGGAACACGTGGAGGAGGATGAGGAGAGGGAGGAAAAGGGAGGATGAGGAGACCTCTTGGGAGCCTCCTGGGGGACTCTTGGGGCCTTTTGGGAGCTTCGTGGGGGTCTCTTGGAGGCTTCTGGGGGGGCCTCCTTGGGCCGCTTGGGGGCGGGGCCTCTGGGGGCTTCTCGAAGGCTTCTCTCGCAGTCTTAAGGCGTTCCTGGCCCGTCTGACGCCGTCGAATGCCGTCTTGTGGGCGACTTGGGCGCTCCAGGGCCGCCTTGAAGGTTATCTTGGGCGTCTTGGACGCCTCTTGGAATGCCTTTGGGCCCTCTTGGGGCCGTCTTGGGGGCCTCTTAGGCCGTTCTGGGCCATCTTGGAGGCCTCTTGGGCGCTCGCGGGGCGATCTTGATGGCCTATTGGGCCGTCTTGGGCCGTCGGGAGCCCGCAACAGAGCAAAAGACAAGCTCCCCCCTCAAAAAGGACGATCAATGGTGTTGGCCTCTTCGCGCCGTCTTGGAGCCCCTCTCGGAGGCCTCTTGGGCCGTTTTTGGAGGCCTCTCGGGGCCCTCTTGGGCCGTTTGGGGCCATATTGAGGACATGTTGGGCCGTCTTGGATGCATCTGGGGCCGTTTTGGAGACACTGAGACATCGTTCGGTTATCTTGGGCTTTCTTGGGGCCATCTTGGCCGTTTTGAAGGCGTCTCGGGACCTTCTTGAAGGCAATCTTGGGCCATCCTAGCCGTGTTGGGGGCGATTGAATCCATGAGGGGTGAATTGTCCAGGGCTTTCCGGGTGGCTGGCGGGCTGGGCCGAAGCCCCAGGGGGGTAGAAGAGAACCAAAAACTTCCCAGTGATCTAACACGCCGTGCATCTTTGTGGCAAGACCACAGGGGGCGGCGGATCGAAGACGCCTACGGCGAATCACCGTCGCCCCCTGCCTTTTGGAAACGCCCATGCGGCCAAACGTTGGGCCCAAGTCAGGCCAAGGTATTGAACTACGTGTTCCCCCAGCCGCTGTGGAATCCCACTTGGGGGAAAATTTTGGCGAGGAAGAGAGGAGACTGCGGAGGAGGAAGAAGAGGCCTCTTGAGACCCGCTTGGGGCTCTTGGGGACCTTCTGGGAGCCTTCAGGGGGGCTCTAAGGGACATCTTAGGAGCCTCCTGGGACCTCTTGGGACCTCTTGAGGAACTCTTGGGCTTCTGACCTTCGGAGGCCGTCTTCGGCCCTTCTTGGTCAGTCGTGGGTACTTCTTTGGGCACTTCAGGGCCGTCTTGGAGCTCTCTGGGGCCGTCTTGGGGGCGTCTTGGGGGCTTCTTGGGCTGCATTGGTGCCCTCTTGGGTCGTCTTGCGGGCCTCTTGGGATATCATGGGCCGTTTCGGGGCGATCTTAGGGGTCTATGGGTTCGTCTTGGAGCGTCGCAAGCCCGAAGAAGCGAGAATGCTAAACTCATAGCGTTGTAATAATAAGCAATGGGACATCTTGGACCGTCTTGGGGCCATCTTGGCCGTCTTGGAGGAGTCTGGGACCGTCTTGGAGGCCATCTTGGCTGTCTTGGAGGCAACTTGGAGGCATCTTGGAGGCCATCTTGGGCGTCTTGGGGGCGATTTGACCAATGAGGGGTGGCCTTTTCCAGGGCTTTCCGGATAGCCAGCGCGTTGGGCCGAAGCTCCAGACCAAAAAACAAAACACCAGAAGACTGGCACGCCGTGCACTCCTGTGGCAAGACCACAGGGGGTGGCGGATGTAGTGGCCCTCGGCCCATCCCTCCACCGTGCTGGTTTGTTGGGATGTCGCGGGAGGCTTCTCGGGTGCCTCGTGGACCATGCGCCGTTGTGGAAGCCTTTTGGGGAACACGTGACGGAGGAAGAGGATGATGAGGAGAGCTAGGATAACGGGGATGAGGAGAAGGATGAGGTTTGGAGCTTCTTTGGTTATTCTTGGGGCGTCCTGTGAGATTCCTGGGGGCCTCTTGGAAGCGTCTCGGGGGCCTCCTCGGGCCTCTTGGGGACCTTTGGGGGCTTCTTTGGGGCCCTTGGAGGCTTCTTAGGGGCCTCTTTGGCCGTCTCGCAGCGTTCCTGGCCCGTCAGACGCCGTCGGAAGCTGTTTTGGGAGCCGTGCTGTGCCGGTTTGGGGCCCTTTTGCGGCGCTCCAGGGTCGTCTTGAAGGTGGGCGTACTGGAAGCCTCTTGGGCCGTCTTGGGGCCCTGGGGGCGTCTCGGGAGCCTCTTGGGCCGTCCTGGGATCATCTTGGATGCGTCTTGGGCGATCTTCGAGCAATCTTGGGAGCCTCTTGGGCCGTCGGAAGGCCGTGTTGACGCAAATGCCAGAATCAACAATTGATTTGGCCTCTTCGGGCCTTCCTGGAGGACGTCTTGGAGGCCTTTTGGGCCGTCTTGGGACATCTTGAGGCCATCTTGGGCCGTTTTGGGTGCATCTTGGGCTATCTTGGAGACATTCTTCGGCTATCTTGAGCTTTCTTGGGGCCATCTCGGCCGTCGTGGAGGCATCTCGGAGGCCATCTTGGGCCATTCTTGCCGTCTTGGAGGCCATCTAGGACGTCTTGGAAAAATGTTTCGAGATATACGCGGTGCTGAGCGTCCTTTCGGGTAGCTGGCGGGCTGCGCCGAGACCCAACGGGGAGTTCTGTAGAAAAGAACCAAAGTTTGCCAGACGTTTGGCACGCCGTACACCCCTGTGGCAAGACCACCGGGGGCGGCGGATCGAAGACGCCTACGGCGAATCACCACCGCCCCCTGCCCTTCTGGAAGCGCCTATGCGGCCGACATTTGGGGTAGAGCTTGGCCAAGCTATCGGACCATGTGTCACCCGAGTCGGTTTGGAAAGCCTTCGGGGAACACTTGGGGAGGAAGGGGAAGAGGAGGAGAGGGAGGAGAAGACCTCTTGAGAGCCTCTTGGGGCACTCTTGATGGGCTCCTGGGGCTTTCTGGGAGCTTCCTAGGGGCCTTTGGAGGCCTGTTGGGGGGCCTCCTTGGGCCTCTTGGGCGCTTTTGGAGGCTTCTTGGGGGTCCCTTTAGCCGTCTTAGGGCGTTCCTGACCCGTCTGACGCCATCGGAAGCACTCTTGGGAGCCTCTCTGAACCGATTTGGGTCCCTCTTGGGACGTTTCAGCGTCGTCTTGGAGGCCATCTTGGGCGTGTTGGAGGCCTCGTGGGCCGTCTGGGGGCCGTCTCGGGGGCTTCTTGGCACGTCATGGGGCCATCTTGGCGGCCTCTTGGGCGATCTTGGGGGCCGTCTTGGGCCGTCTTGGGCCGTCGGAAGGCCGAACAGAAGGCAAATGCCCAAATCCTTCAACATTCCAGGGAGTAAATGATTTTGGCCTCGTCGGGCCCTCCTGGAGAACCTCTGGGAGGCCTCTTGGGCCGTCTTGGAGGCCTCTTGGAGGCCTCTGAGGCCATCTGGGGACGTCTTGAGGCCATCTAAGGCAGTCTGGGGTGCATCCTGGGCTGTCTTTGAGGCCGTCTTGGAGGCCGTCTTAACCGTCTAGGAGGCCATCTTGGCCGTCTTGGAGGCATTTCGGAGGCCATCTTAGGATTGGCGGTCCTGAAGACCATGTTAAGCAGTCTTTGGAGAATTTTTGGGAGAATTCTAGACGTTTCGCGTAACCCCACCAGCTACGCCCTGGGTCGCTGCTGCCTGCCGCCTGACCGCGGCTCCGCGCGCGCCCCCCCCCTAGTCGCGGCCGCAGCCCGACCGTGACCGCCTGCCGCTGGCGCTTCCGCCTGCGGCTGTAAAAAAAAGTAACCCCACCAGCTAATTATCTTGCGCTGTGCCCCAGCCTTGGTACCAACGCCCTCTGGACTTTTCCTTGCGGGTCGCTAATCAAAAAAGTAACCCCACCAGCGCGACTTCTCCACGCTGTACCGCCGTAGCCGCTGCTCGCTGCGCCGTGGCGTCCCCGCCCGCCGGGATGTCAGCGCCGGACTTCGGTGTTTAATGTGGTTCAGCTTGTTCCTTGCATGTGCATGCGCCTCTTCGGCTAATTATCTTCGGTTCGCGCCCCGTTCGATGACCCGCTTCTTGACCTTCGCCAGGGAGCCGCCAACAAAACAGTAACCCTACCAGCCCATCCAGAAACGATGCCCAGAGGAATTGCCTCGATCAGGGAAGTGGGCAGCACACAGAGGAAGGGTCCCCCAGTGGAGGCCTCTTGGAGCGTCTTGGGTGCCTCGGGGAGCTTCTTGGGCCTCTTGGGGGTCTCTTGGGGGCATCTTGGCCTGTTGGGGCCTCCTGAGCGCCTCTTGGGGCCCTCTTGAAGCGCTCTTGGGAGCCTTGGGAGCGCTCTTGGGGCCACATTGGGGGACATCGATCAAACAAGAAGCGAGCATTAGTTAGCGTTGCCCTTCGGGAGCCCAAACAATCGCCTCTTGGGGCGCTCTTGGAGCGCTCGTAGGCGCTCTTGGGGCCGTTTTGGGGCTCTCTGGAGCTTTTCTTGGAGCCCTCTTGGGCCATCTTGGAGCCATCTTGACGCCTCGGATGGCCATCGGACGCGAAAAGGCGAGAACGCCAAACACATAGAATTTCCTCAGGTTTTGGCCTCTTCGGGGCCTCCTGGGGGAGCTCTTTGGCCACTGGGAGCCGTCTTGGAGCGGTCTTGCGGCATCT